ATTTATATGAAGTGAGGGCATTTATGTGAAGTGAGGACATTTATATGAAGTGGGGACATTTATATGAAGTGAGGACATTTATATGAAGTGAGGACATTTATATAAAGTGAGGACATTTATATATAGTGAGGACATTTATGTGAAGTGAGGACATTTATATGAAGTGAGGACATTTATATAAAGTGAGGACATTTATATATAGTAAGGACATTTATATAAAGTGAGGACATTCATATAAAGCAAGGACATTTCTATAAAGTGAGGACATTTATATATAGTAAGGACATTTATATAAAGTGAGGACATTTATATATAGTAAGGACATTTATATAAAGTGAGGACATTTATATAAAGTAAGGACATTCTTAATGTTTGGCATGGTGTGTTTTGTGTGTTATCAATGTTACAAAGCCAGAGAGATTGACTGTGTCTGCCAAACACCATTAGAGGCTGTTTAGACCAGAGCTGATTGTACATATCTGTGCGACTGTGTGTGTGTGGGGGGGGTGGGGGTGGGGGGGTTGAGTGCTTGTAGCTGTATGTTTGCCTCCCTTATCTCTCCATTTAAGCTGCCAACAACAAAAAGCTCTGATAACAGCACGTATTGAGGAGTGATAGCGTGAAGGAGAGGAGGAAAAGGAGCAACACATCTGGGTAGAAGCTGAGGAAATAAATGGAGGTAATAGAGGAGGTGCAGTAACACTTGTCTGATTTCTATCTAATTCTGCTTTTTTTTCACTTTGCACATCACCAATGTCGCGCACGAGGAAAGAATGGAAATAGCAAAATTCAATAAAAACACCCTCAAATGGTCCCAAACCAATTTTCATGCTTGTTAGATCTGAAACAGATTAGATTTTAATGGAAATGGGCGGAAAAAAGAAAGAAGGAGATGAACTGCAGACAACACTGTGTTGGTTTAATACCTGCACTGATTTCAGAGTGGCCTGAAATCCACCACGTGATCTTATCCTGGGCTGTTCCTCACATGTATGAGGGCACAGCCTGTAATGGCAGCTCGGCTATTAGCTACTGTACTTTTTTTTTTCCATTACCCGAGTTTGAAACATGGAAAATGTCCATTAGATTAAGAAAAGCATGTACATGACATTCACTGAGGCATTTTGAAAGCCCATCTGATGAATATTTCACCTCACATTTGGAACTGAACAGCGATAGGTCTGATGGTGAAAAGGAAATAACACTGGTGAAAATGCAGAATATGAAATTACCAACAGCAAGACTGAATATATCTGCAGGGAGATAAGGGAAGAAGGGAGGATGAAGAGGTAAAGGTGGTCGACAAGGAGGGCCGAAAAACTAATAACACACAGATAACAGTCTTGTTTTCATTTTAGCTCCAAAATGCAGAACGAGTCACCTCAACAAACACAGGAGGAAAAGTGAAAGACCCAAAAGCAGAAACTCAGTGTTGACCAGACATCACTGAGTAACGGAGGATACAAGAGGCTGAGCACTGGACCGACTGAGAGCAGTCCATGTAGAGGATGACACAAAATATGTAGGGCTTTAAAAATATGGATCTTATTACCCCTCCAAGAATCGCCACCTTATCGTGGTGGAGGGGTTTGTGCGCCTCTGTGATCCTGGGAGCTGTGTTGTCGGGGGCAATAGCTCCTGGTAGGGTTTCCCAAGGCAAAGTGGTCCCAGGTGAGGGGCCAGACTAAGAGTGATTCATCCTGAAAATAAACTCAAATGAATGTTGAACAGGAGTTATTAAAACAATCACTCTAGAACCAACCTGTACTGTCTCCTAAAAGTTCTCCCCAAACTACCAACTTACGACAAGAATAAAATCCGTCTCTGGTGTCAAAGTCCTGCACTTTTTTTCTTAAACCCTGTAATATATGTGGAACAAATTAATAAATAATCATCTCATACTATTGGACCAATCAGCCTAATGATTTGTGTGCACATGTATAAGTGTATGCTCAAGGACCTCTTGTGGTTGCGATGTTTCACAATTGTTGAAAAACCTGTTTTATTGATTGTTTTACACCAGTAAAGACAAAGTGAGGACATTTTCATACACTTAGTTTTTACATTGTAGTTTGGGGACGCTGTTTTGAAAATGTGGAGATTTTAAAAACCCATAACATTTTTGGAATCTGGGAACGGTGAGGACTTTTTTTTAAAGTGCGCACATTTGCACAAAGTGAGGACATTTTTGCAAATTGAAGACAATTTCAACCAGTTTTTTAAACTGGGGACACTCTTTTGAAAATGGTGAATTTTTTTTACAACCTGTAACATTTCTGGAATGTGGGAATAGTGAGGACAAAGTGTGGACATTTTTTTAGGTGTGGACATTATCACGAAGTGAGGACATTTTTATGTTACATTTTGTCACTGGTGTGTTGGTGGGAATGTGAGCTGCTGTCCTGCTCCTGCTGTGGATTGCTAGTTACGCAAAATAAATGCAATATTTCTAAAGTTTTGACAAAGTACAAATGCGACTTGCAGGTGTTTCCATTAAAAGGTGTTTTACGTATGAGCCGTGATTCTCGTAAAATCTTGTCCCATGAGACTTCACTTTGTTTGCGGAAGTAAGATGGACATTCCAAATCTCTTGCAAGCTGGAACAATCATCTCGGTTGCCACTGCTGCTGTTGCAGTAGTCTACAACCGAAGATGAAGAGAGCGAGTAGTATTCCAAAGGCAAAGTGTGTGGCAGCGACCACGGATAAAGGATTTCTGGGAGAGGATCGCGAACGAGGAATTCACCAATGTCACGTCTGGTGACATATATTGCGAATAAAGTGTTTCCATTACACTTCTGTGATATACTTCTATATTGACACGTCTGAAAAACCACCTCATGAGAGCGTAAAATCTTTTTCCCGATATTTGAGATTTTTTTTTCGAAATGTAGGTGTTTCCATTACCAGTTTTTTATTGCGATATTTAGGTTTTGCACATTTCTGTTGTACACTGTTCAGAGGTGACTGCAGAGCAGCGACCATGCAGCCATCTTATTGGGGTCGATATGTGTCAACATATAAATCATTCCACAACCAGAAACCATGGATCACCAGAACCATCTGGAAACATGGACGATTAAACAGCAGCAGCAACGATGTAAGTAGACGCAAAAAAAGGACTAAATTACAGTAAGCAAGTTAAAGAAGCTGATGTGATCACATTTCACTGCAGTTGTACCTTCTATGATTCCATGTGACAAATAAGTGACTGATTTATTGATAAGAGTTTTAAGGCAGAAGTGTTTAATAATTTCAACAATCAGCTGAGCTGCTGGATCAAGATTCGCACAAACAACTAACTACTCTCTCCTTTCTTCACATTTGCAGCAACAAGCTGAAAACACAGCACACACTGAATGTAAGTCCAGTATTCTTTCTTTTAGCTCCTTATTTGGTCTCCACTGTCTCTTGAGGGAAGTATCTGACTCTTTGCTAAATGCTCCGCTGTGTTCACCAGCTGGTCTCTGACTGTGTCTTTGTGCTGTGTGCTGCTGACCAAGTAGATTACGGTCCCTTTTACATCTTGTTTAATGAGAACAGCTGAGTGTGAAGCAGACTTCAAATTTGCCGTAATTAAAAGAACTTTCAAAAAGATCCCCGTAAGAATTACATTTTTTAAAATATTAAGAATTATCATTTAATTAATTACATGATTTTCACACTGTGCAGGACACAAAGAGGAGCATGCATAGGAGGTATCTGCTAGCAGCTAATTAATTAGCCAGCCACATTTTTATTCCAAGATTAGCCAACAGCAAACTTGCCAAGAGTTTGGCTTCGAACAAAAAAAATGAAAGAATAAAAAACTGTGTGGCGTTTCTTTTCACTGCTTATTAAAAGGTACAAAGAACAACAAAAAGTCTTTGTGCTGCTGTTGCTTTGATGTCAGAGCAGTTTACCTGCAGCAAGTTACAGGTCTGTTAATTAGCTTCCAGGCTAACACTAGTGTCAGGAAGGAGAAGAGAGGAGGCATGAAACTGGGAATAAGAGAGGCGATGAAGGCGGAAACATGAATTAATGAAGAGAGGGAGCAGGAGGGATAGATAGTGAGTGCCGTGATGGAAAAAAAATATTGGCAGTCATGAAAACAGACGAGCACTGTGAGAGACAAAAAGACGACTAATCCCTGTCATGTTTAGTCCCCTCTTCGGTTTTAAGCTCTGACCTGAGGGATTGCACATATATATATTATTGTTGCAAATATAGAACAGCTCATGTAACACCAGGAACATTAATGTTCCCTGACATGTTAAAACATTGCAGAAAAGACTGTCATGGTCGTGTGTACAAAACAAAATGAGCAAAGTGTCCATAAACACTCGCCCAGGTTCATCTTCAACGAAGAATATGGAGACTTAAATCTTCGTTTCTTTGTGTCATCTCAATCCAGCAGATACGTTTTCTGTGCGTTCAACCTGTTCTCATTCCCAGGATCTCATAGCCACCACGGGGCGCCCTTTAGCGTCTGTATGGGACGCACAGTAGAAACACATTGTAACACGTGGTTGATGTAATGAAACAGTCGTAGTTAGGTTAGGCAACAAAAGTACTCGGTTAGACATTCTGGATTTAAATGAATATGCTTGTTACGCAACATAATAAAGTGGGATTTAAGTTTCTGTGTTGAATCAGCGCCGTATCTACAGCATAGGCTCTGTCAACACGTTCCAATCCCAGGTCGTCATATATCACCACTTTGTCAGTGGATATTTGTGTCTAGATATAACGCACTAGGTGTCCCTCAGCGCCTGCTGTGTACGTTCTGCTGTTTACATCATGGTTTGGGTCACCACCCCAATCTGCCTTCTTACAAGCACTTCAGACTTCGATCAGTTCATTGGTCACGTGATTGCAGCCTCTCAAAACCCATGGGTCATGTATGAATTTGGGTGCATTGCTTTTTGTAAGAGAATGTATGAAGAGTTATGAGAACAGCCTGGTTTCAGTGGTGAAGGAGGTCTGCAGGAATTATTGATAATCTGCGAGACAGTGAATTTTTCTGCAGGATTTCTTACTGACAATTCAGTAGTTAAATCTACACTAATGGACCCACGGCGCCTTTTTCAAAGCTGCTTTCATCTGTAAAGAGATAGGTCTTTCAGCACATTTCCTTTCGTTACACCAACATATGTGCAGCAGGGATGCCGTTTCGCCTCATCTTCCGTTAGGAACACACACACAGTTACTCGCCTCCAGGCCGTTCTGTCTTCTTTACTTTATATGACCTCAAACACACAAACCTGCCTCTTAGAGTCTACACTGTACTGGGGTTTAATGCACACTAACCTCTTTATATGCACATACAGTGAGAGTGATTTGAGATAATCTGTATGGTGCAGATAAGTAAATGTGGGTCAGGAAACATTCCAGAGGCACGTTGGATTTGCGCTTCCCTCCGAGGAGGAGATGCCTCTTTAAACTGCATTTATCTGCTCTGCAGGGTCCCGAGATTTAAACAGGAGCACACCTCACTCCCCTGTGGGCTTCCTGCACGCTCAAATAGACTCTTTTTAAAAAGATATTCTACATTGTATAAGCTCCACGCTCTGCCTATTACACATGCCGACTGTTGAACAAAGCTATAGGTTCTTTCTTGTTGTGAATCTGAGCTTCTTCCCTGAGGGATTCACCGAAGAGCGAATCTAACATGATAAGAACTTCTATCCCCTGTGCTATTAGCTCTCAAGCAGGACAAATCCAAACCCAAACACGTTTACAGGGTTATAAAACAGTTTATTATTGCCCTGGACGACAGCCTGAACACACTGTGGATGGCTGGTGGAGTAGCTTTAGTCGTGGTCAGACTCAGCCTGGTATCTGGTGCTGATCCTTGACTGTGTTACAAACATCAGGCCAGAACTTCAACACATCCGAGAGGTAATATGAGATTCAGAGTTTAACCAGTCAGTTATTAATTTATTTTGAGGACTGCCTGTTGTCCCGATGGCTCATAATTCTTAAGCCCCAATAGTCTAGAAAACGTCCCAGTGGACTGAAAGCCGTTCGTCCCACAGCCCGATGTCCTGAAAACAAGCACGTATTTCTTCAAAGGTCTATTTTCATGAAAAAAGGCAACACACTCTACCAAACCATCATCATCCTCACTGTGACCTCGTCACATGTCCACGTTTGGTCATGGACTTTCCACGTCCACATATGACGTCCAAGGTACCCTGGGTGTGTTGGTTGTTGACATTCTGTCAACTGAAGTGTCAACTTCAGCCTGTTACATGCATTGTGTGTTTTCAAAATACACTTCTGTTTTCACAGGAACTGTACAGTTTGATACAGTCTCTTTCAAAATAAAAGCACTATGTCGGTACAGCACCGCCAACTGATGTATTTTTCCTTCAACACACACATGTGGTTGGGTTTAGGAAAAACAACAACAGGGTTTGGCTTTACAATCTTACAGGAGGTGAATACTGGCCTCCCAGGATAAAGTTGGTGGTTGTTGGACGATCCACCCGCTCTACTCAAACTTCCGCTGCCTTTCATCGTTGTTCCCTAACGCTGCTGGACACCATTAAACAACAATGGCCAAAAGGATGGCTTATTTGTCAGTGTCTGACCACGGACATCACTGACCAGTTGGTGGTATTCGACAACTGAATTATACAGTGATGTCATCGGATCTGTGGCAAAGGCATGACTAGGACCCTACAATACCAGAGTGGCGACACACACATTGGTCAGGCGCAAAGTTGGTCATGTGCCCTCTAGTGGCAGGATAGCGCGTTGCATATCCAACCAACAACTGACTGAACTTCAGTATTGCTGCATTACTGCCGACCAGGAACTCTTGTGCATTTCCAAAGTCAAGCAAACCTAAAAGTATAATCTACCATAATAGGAGCATCAGTGACCCGTTTACAGTTGTCTACCATAATGGTACTCTCTACATTTTGAAATAAACAAATTATAAGCATGACTTAATATGACCAAGACACCTAAAAGTAAAAACAAGGCCGTTTTCATCAACTTAGAAGCAAGTTCACGTCAGACATACTGTAAGTGAATGGGTTTTCTGATCGGAAAGGCAATGCCCTCATGCCCCACTAGAGGGTGCGTGAGGCTCAACTTCAGCATACCACAGGAGTCAATGGAAGTGTCGTCACTCTGGTATTGTTGGGTCCTAGGCATGACCTGCCCTCCTCGCCCTTTGATTGGCTAGTATTTGTTAGTTGGGTTGGTTAGGTTTAGGCATGAGGACTGAGGTTAGTCGGGGTGAGGGTAAGAGTATAAGGGTAAGCCAGAGTTGGGTGGGTCATAGTCAAACAGTCAGATGACTAATTATGTGCCTCTGTTTTGAGAGTGTGTAGCTTTGGAGCATTGTGTGTTTGTTTTCAGGATCAACGTCCAACATTATTGGCATACTGGGGCTTTCGAATTGTGAGCCATCTGAACAGTGACATGGCACCTCATTATTTTACTGTGGGTCCAAACTCCAACCTATTTGATGCATTGTACATCAACCCAGTCGCCAGAATGAATATTGGCGTTGTATTTTTCTGCAAACTGAGAACGTGTCACATTTGTATGTGGATACGTTGAAAATTAACTTTTGTTTATGTGTGAACAGGGCTGTGGTGACTGTAGGTAGGGTTAGGTTCTAGTCAGGAAAAGATCATGTTTTGGCTTAAAGTACCCAGTTTTGGTGCAACAGTCCCGGCAGAAAATGCAGCAATTACTTGGTACAAAAGCAACCAGTTTCCATGGCAATGTTCTTGCAGAAAAAGCAGCAATGTCTCAGTGAAGACAGAACTGCTTTTTATGGCGCTATCGTGGCAGGAAACTCAGCGATGGCTCAGTAAAAAAAACAACCACATTTAGTGGCACTATCCCGGCTGGTAGTGCAGGGATGTTCCTGTAAATGACAACTGCACTTAAGGCACTATCCTGGCAGAAAACACTGCAGTGTCTCAGTGAACAACTACCACTTTTTGTGCTCTGTTCTAGCAGCGATGGCTTTCAGTGGCTGGTAACAAAGCAATGTCTTGGTAAATAACAACCACATGTCACGGCGCTGTCATGGCAGGAAACTCAGCCATGGCTCTGTAAAAGAAGGAAATGCCTATATTGGCCCTATCCCAGCTGGTAACACAGCGATGTCAAGGTAAATGACAACTGCTCTCATGGCACTACCTCGGCACTGTCCTATCCCCAGTGGGAACATTGAAATGCTAAAAACCACCAATGTTTGTTGCCTAAAACGTTGCTGGAAACAGCAATAACTCACTGAAAAACTACTGGTTTTGTTGTTCTTTGGTCTTGAACACTGGTCTGCAGCTTTGCAGATATCTGGCCAGGGATTTTTTCTGACAATCATTGTTACACGAGTGTTTATGATTCCATAACTCTGCCCTGGTCAGTGCAGCTGGCTTTACTTTCCATCTTTAATGTCAGATTGTGTGCACACTGTGTTTTAGGCTTCACTGCTCATGGACTGCTTTGTTTCGTATATCTACACGTGTCAGATCAGCAATTCTGAACAAAGGGGCCGAAGAAAAACTTGCACCCCACAGACGCACACAAGGTTGAACCCATGTGCAATGAACATAATAAATGATGGTAAAGAGCAGCATACTATTCAAACACCAGTTCTTTTCACATATTAAAGGACAGTAAATGCCGCCTTGTATTTATCCGTCTGACTAACTTACACTAACCAGCCCACTCAGTGTTATAATGTAAAGAGAAGCTCTTTATGTGCTGAGTACATGCAGTAATGGGCGACATCAAGGGTAGTGTGAATAAGTGACAATACGACAGAGTGTCTGACAGTGAGGAGGTCAGAGGTCACTGTTCCCATTTCATCTCTTTCGTATCATGAGAATACTCAAGCGTGGTCACAGGAGAGTGTTAGAGACGAGGATGGAGAAGCAGCTGAGCAGAGAGTGTTCATAGCTGCAGGTCCATCTGCTGATTACTTGCTCCAGTAACGAGGTGAATGTGCCCTTGTGGAAAGTGACTCTTGAAGCCATTAAGCAGCAAAGTGCTCTCAGCTTCGCACAGAGGAGTTCTTCTCCAGCGTTTCCTTTGTTTCAACAAAAGTTAGCCAACAGACAGTAAGTGTTCCTTCATAAGCAACTCAGTTTTGCTTGAACAAAAGAAAGCAGTGCACACAAAGGTGTGAGTTGTATTATGCTTTGAACATGATGCTTTCTTTTCTTCGTGGTGAAACGTCTCAACAACTACTGGATGAATGGCTTCAGAATGTGGTTCATCATTTATGTTCCCCACAGGATGAACTGTTATAACTCTAAGAAGGTGGATGAAAAATGTGTTTCTTACGGTGGTTCAACCCCTATAAACATATCTGCATAAGCAGAATCTGTCGGCAGCAGTTTTGGTATTGGAAGAGTTCAGTTTTCCGTTTGTAGCACTGTTAGTTTGAAAGTGTCCCACTGGACCAGAAGCCCATTTCTCCGACAGCCCAAAAACAAACAATTACAAGAATTTTTTTTGTTGAAATGTGATGACGGGTCTTTAAATTAAAACAAAACAAAAAAAACACATTCAGTGGCACAAAAGCTGCTGGGAAAACAGTGGAGGATTGCTGATTGTTTCAGGCACTAAAACGACTTGGCTTTGTGGTTATTTGGTCCATGTTCTCACTTGAATACCAACGATTCAGAGCAGAACAGCCGCAACAGGTCCCTAAAAATCACCCAACATCTGTTTTTTGTTTAGACAGAAAAATCACTTGGTTATGGTTCGTACAAGATCACGTTCCCAGTTAAAGTATCAGTATTTGAAAGCAGAACATCTATCCATTTTCATCCACTTGTCCGGGGCCGGGTCACAGGGGGCAGCAGGCCGAGCAAAGCACCCCAGACGTCCTTCTCCCCAGCAACACTTCCCAGCTCCTCCTGGAGGACCCCGAGGTGTTCCCAGGCCAGGCGAGATATGTAATCCCTCTAGTGTGTTCTGGGTCTGCCCCGGGGCCTCCTACCAGTGGGATGTTGAACCACCTCAACATGAAGGAGCAGCGGCTCTACTCCGAGCTCCCTCCAGATGTCTGACTCCTCCCCCTATCTCTAAGGCTGAGCCCAGACACCCTACAGAGGAAACTCATTTCGGCAGCTTGTATCCAATCTCATTCTTTCAGTCACTACCCAGAGCTCATGACCACAGGTGAGGGTTGGGACGCAGATGGACCAGGAAATTAAAAGCTTTGCCTTCTGGCTCAGCTCACGATGGACCGGCGCAGCGCCTGCATCACTGCAGAAGCCGCACCGACCCACCGATTCATCTCACGCTCCATTCTACCCTCATTGTGATTAGTGTTGCTTTCGTCGACGAAAAGTATGACTAAATATCGTCGTCAACGAACCTTTATCAAGTGACAAAAACAAGAAGAGACGCAACGAAAAAGGTGGTCATGTGACGATAACTATAATTAAATATATAATGCAATATTGTTGACGAATAAAAACGAGACTAAATGTGGTTTACAAAATAAAACCTCTGCTAAAATGTTTCTTCATTTTCGTTGACCAAAACGAGACGAGACGAAATAACGTTATAATGTTTAGTCGCGTTATTATTATTATTTTGCAGTATTTCTGTTTCCTAGGCTGTGCGTCGCACTGTGCAGACGGATTACAGCCGTGACGATATACAGTACAACGTCACTCACTCTCATGTGATATTGCTTTTATACAGTTCAACAACAGCTTAAACAGCAGTGCTGAGTAAGGAAATGTTAACAAAAGGTAATGAAATAAAAGTATGTTATGTAGCTCCGCGATCCCCCAGTCTGTTGCCAGGCAACGCAGCACACACACCAGGAACTCACAAGCTACTTTGTATTTACATTGATCTGCAGCTTTGTAACTTCGTCCAGTTCGGCTGATGAGACGTTGGCAAACCTGGATGTTGGCACGGCCGGATTCAGCTTCCCCTCTCCCTCATCCTCATCAGTACCTCATCAGATGATCATTGATCATTCCTGACTATTATCGCTTCATTTTTGCTCCTCTCCAGTTTGTCGAGCTCGGCTGATGTTACACAAACACACCTGGAGGTCTGCACAGAAGAGTCCTGGCTTTCCTTTTCCTTGTCCTCTCCTGACGACCACTCATAATTTAATTCAAATGTAATTTTGAGGAAAATATCCATCTTCTTGGTGTAACGCTAGAGTGTCAGTTTGTGTCAATGTAGTGAGTGTGACAGTTGGTTAATTAACGGCTTTATTTATATATATTATACGGCTCTAATAAATGCTGTATTCTGATTGGTCAGTCGCAGCATTCAGAGGTCTGATAATACTGTGTAATGACCGTTGCTATGTAGCCCAGCGTTGCTAGGGACGCTGCCCTGACAAGGAGATTCAGCCGTTGCCGGCAGGGCAGGGTGCAGAGATAATTTCCCAGTATTCACCGGCTCATTATACATTATCTCTTACTTATAACACCTGTGAGCGGAGTGATTTTACTGTTACAAGTCCCAGTGATGTTATACTCTATATCAGCACTCACGGTATGCCTCTCGTCTAATCAGCTTACTCGGCCTTGGCGGAGGCCAACACCCACTGAGAATGTGGTCGACTTCACACTGAGTATGCAGGCACAGCTCTCACTTTGGTCATACAGGGACCGAATGGCTCGTAGCAGCGAGCCTGGAACCCCATACTCCTGTAGTACCTCCCACAAGACCCCCAGAGGGACGCAGTCGTAAGCAAGACAAAACCCCAAGATACTTGAACTCCCTCACTTGAGGCAGTAACTCTCCTCAACCCTGAAAGCAGAACAGCCATTGGAAATGTGGCAACAGGTCTCTAAAAATCACCCATGTTCAGCAGCACAAAGACTGCTGGAAAAGCGGCAATGTGGCGCTAAAAATCACCCAAGATTGGTCACAAAAAGCCGCTGAAAAAGCAGCAACATGTTGCTAAAAAACACCCATGTTCAGCAGTACAAAAGCTGCTGGAAAAGTTGTGCCATGTTCTGTGCCACAAACAACGCTGGAAACACGGCTCCTGTTTACTAAAAACAACCATTGTTGTTTGATGGTCTTGAACACATCTGCAGCTTGGCAGGCATCTCACCAAGGTGTCACGCCATCCAACACCCCCTCCACCTCCTGATGACACAGTCAGCTCCTATACTGCATCACTTTAGAGAGGGAGAGGCACAACAACGCCAACACTGTCTTCTGACCACTGGTCCGTTTCTGTTCATTTTAGTAACGACACATGTCGGGGTGAAAGTTGCCGCATCCTGGATTTCAATTTCTGAGCTCCGAATGTCGGTGCTGTCGGTGAGCCAACAGCATTTGGCTGCACCTTATGTTCGTCATCAGTCACTGAGGCAAACGCAGACGCTCTGCTGGTTTGCTTCATATGTTCCACATGCTGCCTCATCACAGTCACAGTGTGTCTCTGTCCATGACAAAACTTTAAACCAACCCAGACGTTACACCTAAACTGTGGAAATAAAGAACGTTAAAATGACCCAGGTGTTCTGGAAACCTTTGCTGTTCATCCACAGGTTGTTAACGGATGGCTCCTTATTGCTGAAACTTCGTCTAGTTTTTGTTTATCAAACTTTATATCAACATCTTTACTAAGCACTGCTCATGGAGGAATACGTACTGTTGATAATTCATTTATATAATATGAATATAAATTTTGCTTGTTTGTGTTTTTTCTTTAACTGTGCAGAGGACCGTCTGCACTTTGTCTCATGGCTGCAGATGCAACCTTCATCAACAAGAGGACATCAGTCCAGATCCATTTTTCTCCTTTTCCAGAAGGTAAGTGCTCGTAATTGAAATTTTTCATGGTTTGTTCAAAATACAATTTGGGATAAAAGAACATTACTTTATATACTAAAGAGTGTCTCTAAAGAGTGGATGCTGGGGAAGGTAATGTCAGCCAGCTGGTCCATCACTTGGCACTTTATGGATTGTCATGGACTTTTGTGCATTCATTGTCCCCAGATGATGAATCCCAAACACTCTGGTGATCCCCTGACTTTTCCTTTAGCACCATGATGAGGTTGACATGTATGGTATCGAGTCAGGTGTCAGGAGCAGTAACTGGATCAATGCCATGAACTTTGGTTCTCACATTTATGTTCCCTTCAGGATGAACTGTAACAATTCTGGTGATCCATCAACAGGCCAACAGTTTTAATGTTTCCTATACGTGTACAGTCTGTGTGATAAACTGAGCAAGACTTCTGTAGGTGACCTAACCAGCACCATAGCAACGGCCTTAGACTGAGGAGCATCAAAATCAGTTTAAGTTAGTCCACACAGGCCAAATAGGATCAGAGTGACATTTCTTTTTGCGAATTTTGAATCAATAAAACTTGCTTTAATCATTATTTTGTGTCACATCACTGAATGTTGTAGTAGTAAGGAGGGCATTAACAGAAAAGTTGATTTGTCGACGTGTCGACATCAGTGGCACAAGTCGACACCCCCCGGGAGGAGTCGACAAGTCGTGTGTTTTTTCCCTCTGTCTCTCTCTCTCTCTGTGCGTTGTGTACAGAATGCAATCGCTGCCTCTGCTTACGATACTTTGGAGCAGACTCCTCGAGGAATGTCTGCAGTCATTCGGGCTTTCACAGTCGAGCGCGCTTCCGCGTTGTAGTTTCCTGTAAAAATGTCCATGAAAAATCCCTGCGATGTGAAAAATACATGCCGAGCAGTCACTGGTGCGCGGAGCGGAGTCCGCACGGTCGTAAAATCTGAGCTTTGCGCGCACAGGGCTTGCGGACCTCCGCTTTGAGTCCGCGCGGACCTCCGCAGAGTCCGTTCCGCGTACGTTCCGCCCAAGTATGTTCGGGCCTTCACACATCACATGTGTGGAGATACTTGACTTTCCTCCGTCGTGTCAATGTGATGACTTGTCGACTCGACTCGACTTTATTGACAGATAAGTCGACCTGAAAGTCGTTAATGCCCTAGTAGTAAGCCATGCTCTAAGCGGGATTATGTTTAGTGAGCCAGAGGCATTCTGTTTTTGGGTTCTCCATCTGTCTGTCCCATTCTTGTAAACACAATATCTCAAGAACACCTTGAGAGAATTTCTTATCTCTTCAAATTTGGCACAAATGTCCACCTGGACTCAGTAATTAAGTGATTGGGTTTTAGTGGTTATAGATCAAAGGTCAAGGTCACTGTGACCTTGTGAGTCTCAGTCTTATGAACGTGAAATCTCAAGATCACATAAGGAATTTTTTTCAAATTTGGCACAAACACTTAAAGTGCTAAACTGTTCAGATTTTAGGGATCAGAGGTCAAAGGTCAAGGTCACTGACACTGCATCCGTCTCATTCTCAGAAATGCTTTGAGGGAATTTGTCCTCAACAATCAACTGATTAAATCTTGTGGTCAAAGGTCAGTGTGACCTCACAAAACATGTTTTTGTCCATAACTGAAGAATTCATTCACTAATTCTGACCAAACTTGACACAAATGTCTAACAGGATAAAATAATGAAGGTCAAAAGGTCAAAGGTCAGCTTGACTGTGACATCATCATGTTTTAACGTCATATCTCAGGAACAGAAGGGGAGACATTTGGTCAGATACTGAATTGGTGACTCTAATCTTGAAACTGTGCTGATTGTATAGATCTTCTGTGTGTGAAGCATCCATGTTTTCACTGACATGGATGGAGACTG